AAAAAACCGTAGTCAAGTGTTCTGTCTTGGTTGGATGCCTATATCCGCTGTTTTGCCGCAGATCCCGCCTATCAAGGATGAACAAACTGGCTGTCTACAAACAAATCATAGCACCTGCGATGTTCTACACAGACTCATAGGAACAAAATCCAGGTTTCTCAGAATAGAGTGCTGATGATGTTCCTTGATCGTCCCTTCGACACAAGAATTTCCTATCTTCACCAAGAGGTGAGCATTCCAAAATTAGATTTTAAAATTGATGACATAAAGACTAGGTTTGTGCAAAAATGCAACACATCAGAGCATGCTTTGATAAACAATTTGTATATAGTAGGTTAGGTGTATATAATAGTAACTGTTGTAGGTTAGTAGTAAGTAGCCTCTTTTCATCCAATTTCAAACAAACCACAAGGTGGGAATTCCGTAAACATGCCTGATAGGACTTGGAACTTCTGTGTCACTTGAGAATTCAAATATGTTATGTATTATTTATTATTTATTTATTAATTCGTCAATCACGTGGACTTAAAAATATGTAAACCAAACACAAATACAAGAAATAAACATCATTTAAAGTAAAAAAAAAGAAAGTAGCTTGCTCATTCAATTAACGAACGGTGTAACGATCGAGCATTTAGAACTGACATTCAGCTTTAAATGGAGCATCAGCGGAGCAGTCTCGCTTATTCATTCCATAGAGCCTCATCATCAGGCAAAACGGTTCGTCAAGGAGCTCTAAAGAAAATCTGTATAGGAATTTTTTTTTAGGAGAGTTTCAAGAAATTTCTGGAGACAATTCTTAGAAGCATTCTAATGGAATTCTAAGGATAGTACCAAATAAATTCTTATGCATTTCTTAGTAGAGTTTCAAAGAAGTTCCAAGAGAACTTGTAAGAGCATTTTAAGAAAATCTTGAAGAGAATCTAACTAATGTTTTGCCATAGTATCGGAAATTATGTTGAGTGGAACTTCAAGGGGAATTACAGGAGATTTACGAGACAAATCTTACTCAGTTTTCAGTACTATTCTGAAGGGAATGCCATGTCAACTCTTGCATATTTCAATAGTGTGTATATGCAGAATTATGGAGATAAATTTAAGCGACTTCTTATCAGAATTACAGAGAGTTTGAATAAAATTGTAGGATCAATACGAATAATCAAAAAATAATTTTTAGGGGTCATTAATTTGCTCTCCTCTGTCTAGGTAGCTGACTATGTCTTTGCAGATAAGTAGCGTCCTCTGCAAAGTTGCTTCTAACCATTTTTACATGAAAAAATATATTTAATGCTGTATTTTGTCCCATTGTAGATCGCAGTTTGCTATATAGATAACTTCAAAATATAAATGACCATCAGCAGTACTAAGGATTGCTTAGAGTTGCAACGGTTATTGGATTTGTTTGAGGACTAGAGTGCATCTTCAACTGAACGTTTTATAAGGGACAACTAAATATGCAAGGTATTTTAATAATTTTTACCCCGGTGATCTTGCCCCCGGATTACGGAAGTTAACTTTTTAGAGTTATGTTCATGGTATTTGACTGAATCGGTAAGTTTTTTGATTTCCAGATTAAGCTCTTGCTCCAGAACCGAAACTTTCAACCGAAAGAATTGAAGGTCTAGATTGCTAGAGCCATAATCCGAAAATCACAATAACATAATTCAGGTACTTCTGGGGTCTTTGGCACAGCATAACAAAAATTATATGACTATGAAAAAGTTTCAAGATCTAGGACCTAAACACACCTGCATTTTCATGATACTGTAACTTATAAAAACATCGCGATCACTGACAGAATAGTTTTGAAAATTCTGAACTTTAATTTTATTATTTAAAAAGTAGAAGGGTTTGTGCCTACGAGCACGAACGGAAGCTTGACGTAGGACCGCTAGTGGACGGAACAAATGTGAACATTTAGTTCTTTTAATAGAACAATCATCAATTATCTTAACTCTTTCCGTTTTTTATTTGTAAGCGTATCAAATTTATAGTATTTATTTCAAAGAGAAAGTTGATGAAGAGAATCCAAGGAACTGTCAACCTGAGTATTTTCGATTCATCTACCCGACTTTAAAAGGTGTATTTTGAATTTTTATTATTTATGAATTTTTAAGTTTTGTGCATTTTGGTATTAAAGTGTATTCTATTTACCCCTCACAGGATTTCCATCCGAATCATATGAATGGGGCGGGGCGGAAAGTATCGTTTGTGCAGAATCTGTAAAAAATGAGGGACTTCTAGAGATTGAACTCGTGAGATCTAATTTTATCGGCAAACATACTTTTGAATATAAAAACCAATAAATAATCCATAACAAATTTAAAAACGCTCCTTTAATAATACCCAAATGATCCATAAAACCCCAGTGAAAATCCCCTAAAATGTGTGAATGATCCATAAAGAATATGAATATGATCCATATTTTCAGTAAAATTAAGCAACACAATTTTAAAAATATACAGCTAAATATCTAATGAATGAGCATTGCAATTGTAAAAATTACCCATACACATATTGCACATGATCCATAAAACATTCAGCAATGAGCCTTAACCTAATGAAAGTGATCCATAGAAAATCAAGTTAGCGCTCTTAAAATATAGGCATGATCCATAAACTTTTCATGTTTTTTTTTTAGTTAGAAGTGCGAAGCGATGGGTAAGCTTCCAAAAAAAGATTCTACATATAATAATCTTTTTAACACTTTGAACACGATGCATCTGGTCCAATGTGTAACGGCGAACTTGTAATTGTAAATTGCTGAGAAATAATTTTTCAAAACATTACCAATTTTTTGTTACACATTTTACCGGTTGCATCGTGTTCGGAGTGTTAAGAAGCATCCTAGGGAATATTTTATAAGCATCTTTTAGATGCTCGCCCATCACCGCTTACGGTGATTGAATGAGCACCGTTCAGTGGGACCGCGTCCAATTAGATTTTTAAGTCTGTGTTAGGGAATGTGCTGTTTTCAGACATTCGGTGATAATTTTGATCACCATTGCAACAGTTGGACATTTGGTATTTTTCAATAGTGACCTATTGAAAATTAACTAAGTAACTCATTTTAGCAGATTGGTAGATAAATTTCCAATCGTTTGGCTTGTTTAGAATTAAAATCTATCTGCTATTGGTCGAAACATGACCTCTTTTCGTAATGTTGTGCATTTTTGTTTTTTGAAATTGCGTGGATTCTATAGATCCTGCGTGGAGATCTATCTAGCCCTGATGTATGTGTTGGTAGAGGGAAAAATGTAAACTTTGCGGGAGACGATGTCTTAACACTCGAAAGCAATTTTGTGAAATATAAAGTAAAACAAATCCTAGCTAGTTCTGCATGATGATTTTGTTTGATTTTATTTATTTGTAAAGTCGCCGGGAAATACCCGCTGGCGATTTGTTTTTTTTATGATAACTCCTTACTTGAAAACAGGTAAAAACTCACCAACTGCTTTTTCTTGGTAAACAGTGTGATAATTCAATAATCAATAAATTATCTCAACATTTAGTGGCAAACCATTCATAAATTTTGGTAACATACAAAAAATTCTATAATCCACATTAAATTTCATATGTAAGCGCCGATTGAAATAATCTTTTCAACGTCACTACAAGGGTGATTGATTAAACGAAAGAAACGAATCGTGTGTGTTCAACACGGATGAGGCTGTCGAGCTGTATGTCGTTTGGAGCGAGGGTGACACGCTTGGCATAGATGACCGACTCACGAAGAGCTACTGATTCCCATCCATAGCATAGTGGTGCAGCTTCTTCCTCCTTTGATGGTTGCTTATGTGGGCTCTGCAGCTCGCTGCTTGCAGGCAGCCTTTCGTTGTTACTGGAGAACAATTTTCAACGCCACACGCCGAAAGCACTGCTACTGCTGCTACTAATTTCGACGACCGAACACCACCATGGTGTGGTCGTTGGGAGCGTGTGGTTCTGAGTATGGCGATGAGCGTGCAAAATATTACGCAATTCCATCCTCCCTATTCGCACGCGCCCGAGGATCGGAGGCGAATGCCACTTCGCCTTGTTTCGTCTACTTACTACTCGCTGATGACTTGGCTGGGGAAGCAGCATATGCATGTAGGTAATTGGTGGATTTGTTAGTTAATTCGACGCTTTTGGACAATGCTGAACATTTACCAGTTTTTCAATAGTTTCTTGTTGAAAATCAACATTCGGAAGCATTGTTATCGATGCGTAGCCATATTTCTGATCGATTGGTTATAAAATCATTGAAATTGGACCAGGGGCAGCTAAGTTATTAACGTTCAAAATCTTTCTTAATTTGTTACATGCTCCATTTTCGGTTTTCACAAAGTGTACCCCCATATAGAAATCAAAGACGTAGTCCTACGTCAAAAACAATAAAAGTTTGTGCACTTTCAAAACTTTACGCCATAAAAATAAAGTCAGTCACCAAACTAAAAAAAATTTGAACAGATTCATTAACTTCAATGAAACTACTTTACAAAAATTCTCGGATTGGTGGCACAATTCAGGGTTTCGGTTTAATTTTCAGACAGTTTATATATTGACATTATGTCCGATTAAGCAATTAGAAAAGCTTAAAGTAATGTCATTTTTTTGGTCATATCTCCAGAGCCAAATGGGGATGAGATTAAAATCAATAGGGTTGCATGGCATACACATACACACGATTGGGCTACCCTCGGAACTCATAATCATCATCACATAAAAAATGCGACTTTCAAGTGATATCAGGAAACACACTTAAATGCCGTAGACTATTTTTGGCTAATTCCAGATCCGCCCTGCTTAACATGTATCAGCCTTTGCAGACCCTCCACCCTCTAAAAGTTATGTCATTTAAATATGGTCCCTTTTCACCTTTCGGTACATCTAAGTGTAAGAGAAAAGCAAAAAATCTATTACCTGCCATATTCAACTGATATCTCTGGGAATTATACATATATATGCAATGTCAGAATAATAGGTAGCTATAGATACATGAAACATGAAAAACTTACCATGTACACAGTCCTATCTCCCAACTTTTTTCCACTTTCCTGCACTTTTACCAAATAAACGAAACGTGTCTGCTTTGCATGTGATGACATATGCTTTGGTCCAGCATCATTATCGTGTGTGGACGAATGGATATCACTCTTATTTCCAGCAGAGCCATCATAGCGATTGTTCATGTTTGAATCGCCACCAGCTATGCTCCGTTTTTCCCTCCGCGCATTGTTATGATTTGCTTTTTTTGGGCGTTGATGATTGGAATCCTTTGAATCAGAATGGTGAATTGCATTGGAAGTATTAAGAAATGCATTCGGCTTTCTCGTATTATGCTGCTCGCTTTGATAGATTTCGACCACTAAGCTAGTGCTGTCTCGACAAATCAGCCGGATATTGAAGGTCAATTCAGTATTTTGCACGAGATCCGACCTTCGCTCTGCCGTTCCTTCCGTGCACAATGTATGGCATAACTTCAGGGACTGGAAAACAGAGAGAATTAATTGAGTTAGTTGACATTGAACTTTCCATGTAGCGATTGCATTGTGTTGAAAAATATATATCGAACAAATAAATTTCCAATGATTATAAACAACGCTTCTTTGACATTGTACTAATGAAATCAAAGTTGGGGAGACTGGCAACAGAATTGTATGCATGTTAAACATACATTTACATCATTGTTTTAATTAATTATAGTGGAGCCGTGCGACATAATAAATCTGCGGAGCAATGTAGCATACAGGATTTGAGAAAACTATTTCTATGGTTAATGTCTCGGAGTATGCATCACTTCTCTAGTGGCGTTTATGGACAAAGTTCTAATTACGATCTAGTCTATCCTATTAGTCGAGTGAACGAGGATTCATTTTCCTTATTCGAAAGGCTCGTTTGTCAGTTGCATTAAATATTACTTTCATTGCATTTAGCAATTTATCACGCACAGCAACACAAAACAATAAATATTTCAAAAATGTTCAAGACCCCCAAATATTGAACAATTATTAAGGTCCTAGAAGTTGAATAATCAAAACTTTCGTCTTTAGCCAAAAAAATCATGATACCGGACAAGGAACTGGTATTGACAAAAAATATCGGTTTGTTTACCTGATATTCCCTTTGTACTTTGATGTGTGAACATATGTTTTCAACTATCAAATATTTTCACATCAGTCTAAAACCCAAAGCAACCCGCAATACTTGACCTAATTGTTGAATTGCATACAAAAAAAACCAAATGTTTCTGAAACCTGTATCTACCCACTGTTTGTGAGTCCTACAGGTGTTTTTGGCTGACTTGTGTGTTAACCACAAATAGAAAAGATATAGACTGCAGAGGTGCAAATTATGTTTTTTTTTTGACCTAGTGGGGACATTGATTTGCCCTATGGAAAAAAAATGTTGGAAAACAAATAATGGAGCGGAGTAGACTGGCAACGAACCATTGACGTTGAGATTATGGGGCCCATGTGTTGAAAACTTGTCTTTCTACGCTTGGGAAAATGTAATGGTTCAAGGCGTATAAGAGCTACCTCATGTTAGACGAAAATCATTCATAAGTCACGCTTATGAAATTCATATGAGTCGTTCAGCCTTATGAAATTCTTTCGATTATTTGCCTTTGCGACTATACCAGTAAGCTTTTTTATTTATAACATTGTAGATCGACGCACACACTTGCCTCAGACTACGTCTGTGATTTCTATACGGAGGTACACTTTGTGAAAAGTGAAAATGGAACATGTAACGAAATTATGAAAGATTTTGAATGTTAATTACTCAGCTGCTCATGAACCAATTTCAATAATTTTATCACCAATTGATCAGAAATGTTTCTACCGTTCGACAGCAATGTTTTTGACTCTTGATTTTAACTATTGAAAAAGTGGTAAATGTCAAGCATTGTCCAAACGCGTTGCAATATCTAACAAAAAACAACAATTACATTCATGCATATGCAGCTTCCCCAACACAATCATCAGAGAATCGTTTCTAGACGAAACATGTCGATGTAGAATTGCTGCTTCCCCAACATTATCATCAGAGAGTCGTTAGTAGACGAAACAAGTCGAAGTGGCATTTGCCTCCGATCTTCGGGCGTGTGCGAATAATAAGGATGCAATTGCGTAACACTTTGCACACTCATCGCCATATTTAGGACCATACACCCCAACGACCACACAAAATGCTCTCCAGAGTTGTAATGTTGTAACTAAACTTGGAAGTAGGGTTGCAAGTGATTTTGATCGATTCTCTTCATCGACTTTCTGTTTCGTTAATAACATGAAAATACACTATTTTCTAGGGATGCCTAAAAGTCCAATTATTCGGTTAAATATTTATCGAATTTAAATTGTTCGAGCGCGTAAGCGGCACCCCTTCTTCTTTCTACTCGTTTGATATGACGTGGAACAGGATCATAAATTCACCGAAAAAAGTGTCTAGCGTATTTCTTCTAAAGGCTAAGTTTTACCAACTTGTTGAGAAGAAGTTTAACGAGATAAACTAAAAAGGGGAGGAGGTTTAGCTGGGTGGACACTGATATTCTGCGGCCTTCCAACCTGTCATAGACACTAGTTCAACGTGTGTCCAGCAGCAGACGGGCCGAGACTGTTGCGAGTGCTCAATTATTGAACCGAAGAATATGGGATTGTCCGGTCCGATTTGCTGATCCAGCTGCCTACACGTCATCATCAGGTTTTAACCTTGTACTTCAGGGCCACCGAGAGTTTCCAAAAGAGTTAAATTTCTGAACATGTTCCAACTAAAATTCATATCAAAAGGTTCTTTTCACGGCAATCATAGTCATACTAAAAAGTATAAACAGAGAGAACCGTTCTCAAATTCCTATTCCTACACAAAACACAAGCTCCTGCTGCAGTTAACAAATAACATTTATTATATAAGGGGTCGTCCATTAATTATGTCACACATTTAGGGGGGAGGGGGGGTTTTGAAAACTGTGATGAACCATACAAAAAAAATTAAGGTCCATACAAAAAATGTGACAAATGTGACCCCCCCCGGGTTGAAAATGGGCCAAATTTGCGTGACATTATTAATGGACTATCCCTAAGACGACGTAGTCGTACGTCACCATTGCGTACAACCTCATAGGGCTGTCCCTATACACTCCACATTTTTCGGTCTCCAATTTTCTTGCATTGGACTGTAGCTTGGTATATCTCACCCTCCGTTCATGCGGTCTCCACTAACATCCTGCGATGATGAATCCCACATAATTTTAAGCAAATCTTACATCCGAGTATCCGGTTGGGTGTATAAATATATTCCGCATAAGGCAAACCAATGTCATGGGGAACAGATCCGGTAATGCAAACCCACCGCCTCCCAGAATCCCCTGCTCTACCCACAGCACTCCATGAAATGACACCCGTAATATGGGCTAAATATTAAGTAGGTTGAGTCGATTGTTTCGAAGAATACAATGTTGAGATCAGGCGTGAACGAGCGTCCTAACCACGAAGATGAAGAACCTAAGGATACTGGAAGAAATTAGATTGCTCTTTATCATAAATTATGAGATCCGTGCTTAAAAATTATAGAGTTATTTACGAGTTACGAGTCTTTTGGCCAAGGGTGATTGAATTCTTACTTATTTCGTAGCTTTTTTTTAAATTGATTAAATTTTTATTTTGGGTGAAGCTCAAATCACTCGCCCTTGCTGTCACCCAGCAACGGTACGCCACTGATTTACTGATCCTGATCCCCCTCAAATATCAGTACTTCAACGTTATGACGAATAATAAACGTGTCGTTCTAATTACGAGTGTATGACTCATAATTCGAGATTAGGCGCTTGAACATTTTCTCAATTCATCGAATTGAGTCAATCCCTACATATATAACCATCCGAGCCTCACTGGGTGGAGGTGTATCAACTAATATTCAGATGCTCCATCACTAGAAAATACATTCCATACATTCTGTAGGTACATATCAATTCAATGGATAACCACACGTACTAATCGAATCAACCTTATGTAATTTTCGCGTGGTTTGTAGTTATGAGTAGCTCAATTAATGTTATTGTATGTCGTTTGGCATGGAAATTGCCAACAGAAATGTGTGGGCTTTATGCATATAGCTGTACAAGAAATGTTGGCATTTGTTAATTGATATTTGTTTCTTTTTACATTTGTCACACGCGTATAATCAACTCGTTATAGATTCGCTCTAAAACGGACATGTTCCCTAACACATCATGGGATTAATCGCAGGCCAAATTCAAGATTTATTAATCGTTTTCTTTCATGAACAAATCACTTTAATTCAGCGTGCCGTTAGCAAAAACAAACCCTTCTGCAAACCTAACCCTTTTATCCAGCATCTCAGTGATTTCTCGAGGAAGTGCAGAGGATTTCTCGGCTTCCAACAAATCGAGTGTCACGTGAGCACATTCCTACCCAATTCTCCATTCAGATGCGGCCAGTGTTGGCATGACCTTTTGTAAACTTGAAAATCACCAGAGTTTTTACACATTGAGGATGATAGATACTCCCAAGCAAAATCTATTTAGTTTAAGATTGAAAGTGGAAATTGTATACGATAGATGATGAGATGAAAGTATAGAGTTGATAGCTCTGTTATAGTACGGCAGTGTGGAAATTGTATATAGAAAGCAGAAAGCGAGCAAAGGAAAATTTTGAGGAAGGTACGAATCGGGTTGATCATCCCCTTTACCAAACTCCCCCGTCGAGGAAAGATGCTGAGGGGTGTAAAACTACAGAACTGTTCGGTAATAGTTTAAAAATCAGTGAATAATCCAATAATTAGAAAATTTTACTCAACATTTTACCGGCTTGTTCGGCTGTACTGTGAAAAATCTGTAATTTGAATTACGTGTGCAGTTGAGGATGTATGTTTACTTTGACGGATATATGGATTTATTTGGCTTAACTCATTTAATTGTGATATAAATTTAGCTAAAAACAAGACACAAGTTCGTCACTGACTGTATTGTTGCTGACAAATTATATGGCATCTTTTGAAGATCATTTTGATTTCGTGACAGTGACAAAAGCTGTTTTATCAATATCGTCGTGTACGATAGAGATTTTGCAGCACTGAACTTATATAATTACAGTTGATCTAGCGAAGTTAGCAACCGCTTTTCAGTGTCCAGGATCTCTCTAAAAATTGTCTAAATGAGAAACCTTCTAATTTTATTTAAAACCTTTGAATCTACACACATATGAAATGAATCTTTTTTTTTTTCTAATACAAAATGTATAGATTTTGTATTGGGTTTTTCGATTCATTTTTTAAGAGCACGGATTTCAGACCTGCACGGTATTGTAGGCAATCATTTAGAACTCTTTCTAAATTTAAGAGTGAATTTTCAAATAGGCGTATCTGCTTTTATAAACAGAGGTTCAAACGACAATTTGTCGAAACTGTTAGCTCTCTCACACAAAATAACACCGCTATAATGTTGGGCAATCTTTGTTTACAAAATAAG